TTTTATGCTTAGTTTAAGCTAGCCCAATGCTGTAATTTTTCATTTCTTACTCAAAAAAAAAAAAAATCGAAAAACGAAAAAATATTGAAAAATGAAAAGATTGCCCAAGGATGAAACTCAAATGACGACGCTAATATGTTTTGCTTGCTTGACTCTTGAGTGATGAGTAAAAGTTCTTTTAGAAGGGTGCATGCAAGAGTTGGGGTCATTTAGAGGTCTATTAATCCTGGTTGCATTAGTGTATATGAAATGAAAGTCGATGAATGCTCAATTGCACGTCTAGCATAGGATATTGTTAAATTTGCCCAAAGTAGGATATGTTTGATTCAAATTGCGGTCCCTTGTGCCCTTAATGTGCCTCATTTCCTCCCCGAAATGAAACTCTATTAGGGAATTGGTTATACTTGTATTATGTGTAATAAGTGGCATAATAAGCCACACGTTTCGAATAAAGAAAGAGCCGCTCACAGTTAAAAGAGGCGAGGGCAATAATGTAAAAAAAAAAATGAGAAAAAAAATAAAAAAAATAAATAGAAAAGAAGGGAGAACAAAAAAAAAACTCCCCCAAAAATTCTCAAGATTTTGATTTTCTTTTCTTTAGAGGTCAACTTGTGGATGCCTCCCACACATTGTCGAATTTGTTGCTTATTGTTTCTTGTGAAATTCCCGAGTTAGAGTGTAATTAAGGGGCCTTGGGTGTGCATTTTGGGAGGTGGACTAGCATTTTGAGATTTTATAACCGAAAGAGGGCTCATTACAACTTTGGAATATCTAGGTGTGCTCTAATGAACTAGTAAAAGGCCAAAGGAAGTATCCTAGTGCAACCTTCTTTAGTTTTCCTCTCTACCCCCAACTCATGTGTACATTTGTATGATCGGTAATTCTTGAAAGTCGTTCACTTGTCTTGCTTGTGTCTCATATCCCGATGAGTTGACTTGGGCGAAAAATTGAACTTGTGCGATTTTTGGCGATGTGCTGTGGACTGCGTGAGTTGTGGGGCAAACTCATTGGAAACCCTCACGAGATAAAAACTCGTCCTCTAAGGCGACTTAGAGGTTTAAATTGCTTCTCACTTGTGCTAAAAGTGATGATGGTTGTCACCATGCGGATTTGTTTATGTATGCTTCCCCCTTGTTGCCTCTCCTTGGATTGATGATTAGCAATTTGTTTTCCTCCTTTGGTTTGACATTTTTGTTTTGCTCGAGGACGAGCAAAAGCTTAGCTTGGGGGGATTTGATAACTTGCTATTTGATACGATTTTAGGGTGTTTTGAACCTAGTTTACTTGATATAAATTGCGTTTTGGTTCATTTTTACTCTATTATTATGCAATTTTTGTGTATCCTATGCTTCACGGGTTGTTGGTGTTTTTGTTGAGATTCTAGGTTCAAAAGAACGACCAAATGGAGCCCATGGATACAAAGCCGAGGTTAGAAGCAAGAAGATGGATGAAAGAAGCCAAGGAAAGGAGCATTATAGAAGAAAAGATGAAAAAAAGGGGTTTAGAAGACCCTGCACGGCTGTGCCAGACCTTGCACGTCCGTGCAGGAGGTTCCAGAAAGCTTCAGCAAGCTGCCAAGGCCTGCACGGCCGTGCTTAATCTGGCACGTCCGTGCAGAAGAGGGTGCACGACCGTGCCAGACTTTGCACGTCCGTGCAGAAGTGCTCCAGAAACTCAGAACATTCTGCCAAGGCCTGCATGGACGTGCCAAATTAAGCACGTCCGTGCAGATGTAGCTGCACGTCCGTGCCAATATCTGCACGTCCGTGCGGAACTGCTCGATTCTTAGCAGTACGTTCTGCCTCAATTCTGCCCCCTCTGCACGTCCGTGCCAAACTTGGCACGGCCGTGCTTAGCCTTGCACGTCCGTGCCAAATCTGGCACGTCCGTGCAGACCTGCAGTCGAACTCCTTCCTTGTTTTCTCCGTCCTTTTTATTTGGGGGTCATATAAATCCCCCTTTAGAGCTCATTTGTACAAAAAAGGGGGGAGGCAGTTTTTCAGAGCTTTTCTCTTAGTTTGTAGTCTTAGAACATTAAATTCTCAAATCATTAGTTAGTTCTCAATTATTAGCTTGGAATTATTCAAATTCAATCATTGTAGAAGACAAAATCCACCATTGTTGCTCACCTTGAAGCTTCATAGTAACCATTTCTTACTCATCTTTTCTACTTCTCTTTACTTTGTTGTTAATTATTTGCTAGTTCTTGCATGTTTTGGATTGTTAATTAGCTTAATCCTTAGTTTGAATTTGTTCATGAATTGCTTGAAATCTTTAATTGCTTTAACCCCCATGGATTGTGAGTAGTCTAAATTCTAGGGTTTGGGCAAAACCCTCAATGTAGTCACTAATTACTTGTTGCATGTGCTAATTTGGTTGTTGTGGGATGTTAATTAGTTGAGCTTAAGTGGTTTAATTGCTTAGTTCTTGTATATGGCCATTGCTAGAACTATTTATCCAAGCTTTCTCAACGAAGGATCGAGAGATGAACTTGAGTTAGCTCCCTTATACTTGATTGACCCGAAATGCCATGAGAATAGGGATTACCGGTCAAGGGAATGTTTATGTCATCGTGATTATGCTTTAACACTTGTTTTATGCTATGTAACCACGAGAGTAGGTCGTATTCATGATTCAAGTAATCCCTCTAGCTTGAGAGAGTAGTTGGGTGCTTTAGATGACTTCCCCTAATTTATCCCATTAATTTACCTTGATTGTTGCATGCTAATTGTGATTTGTGATGAAGTTGAGTGGTATAACCCAAGCCCTAGATTCCTCTTAATATTGTTAACCTCCTCTTAGCTTAGTTGAATTGTGTTAGAAGAAGTTACTAAAAACCAACCCAATTTAGAATTCGTTTAGCTTATTTAAACGGTAGTACTCGGTGGTTGATTCAACGCCTCTCTTGGGTTCGACCCTTTCTTACCCTTACTATTGTTAGTGAGACCAAGATAGGAATTATTATCTTTGGTAGGCTCGACGACGGCCTATCAGAACACTTGGATAAGTTCATTGCTCAAGATTGAAGAAATATAAAACATAAAAGAACAAGTAATGAAGAAATGTGCACTTGATTTGCAATGATCGAACTTCAAACACTTATATCTTTTGATCTACAAAACATTTTGGGGCAATTCCAATTGGAGATGAAAGCTTATCTTGAGAGCTTTCCAAAGAAACGTCATATGCCCAATTCCGTTGTAAAATGTGGGAGATATGCTCATTTGAAGCTGAGCGGTTTACCCAGTCCGGTAGGAGCGGGCGCGCATCCTATGAGGAGCGCCCGCTCCAAACTTTCTGGAACGATTCTTCCATATTTTGCTGCAGCTAGGAGCGCCCGTGCACGAAATTGGAGCGCCCGCTCCTCTGCACGCTGCTCGACTTTTGCGGAGCTTCCTAGGCAATTTAGTAAGGGGTATAAATAGATTTTTTGCTCATTTTAGAGGGAGATTTCATATTTTCAGTAGTTTTAGGTTAGTTTTAGGTTTTTAGAGAGAGAAACTCTCAAATTTTGGAGAGAGAAAGTGAGAGAAACAATGGTTTTCATGGATTTTGGATAATCAAAGGAGGAATTTGATGATTTGAAGATCTCCATTTTATATCAATGAGCATTTCTTACTCTCTTCTCTATTTATGCTTTATTAATTGCTTTGTTAATCATGTTTGAGTAGATTTCCTTCTACTAGGTGTTGAGTGAATCTTTGTTATGGTTAATTGAGTTATTTGAGATAAATTTGATGATAATTGTGTGATTAAATTGATTGAATTGATGATGACATGTTGTTTGTTTTAGATTGGATTGATCTCCCAAGATAGCAAACTTAATTGCATGTTAGTTCTAGTTTGACAAGGGATTGTGAATTAGAATTAAATATTTGATTGCATTTTGGGTAAATTTCTTCTATGCACCTAGTCAATGAGGGATCTAGGCTAAGAATTTGAGAGATTGCTCTTGATGGTAATTAATTCCCATTTTAATTCTTTCTTTGCATGATTGATTATCAAATCGATTCCCATTAACTTGTTAATTGTTCAAAGTGGATCTTTGCCCCTAGTAGACTTTGTAATATCTTGATCTTTATATGTGTGTTAGTGTAGTTGTAGTGTCCACTATCCATAAACCGACTTCGGCGTAGCTTAAGCATTAGATCGAGAACAATCCAACATTACCATTCCTTGTGGTTCGACTCCGAACTTACCACTAGACTTGTTTAGGGGTTAGTTTAGGATTATAATAAATTTTGTTTGGCCGTGAGGAGGTTAGTCAACGACATAATTTCCCCGCGCTCAAAATGTTTTGTGTGTTATTTGATTGGGAAAAGTTTGGTGAAATGGGACAAGTAGAACTTCCTAGGATTTTTTTTACTTCCCACGAAATGTTGAAATGTAGGGATTTAGGGCCTGTTCTCATTGATTGAACTCAGCTGAATTAAACTGAACTTAACTGAACTGAGCTGAACTCAACTGAAATGAATATTTTATAAGAGAAGGAAATTAGGAGCTGAACTGAACTGAACTAAACTGAGATGAGCTGAACTGAATTTCAACGTAAGAGAACAGACCCTTAGTTAAGTAGACATTCCCAATCCCATGGAAGGGTTGATATTATACTGATTCCCCTTTTCCTATTGTAGAAGCAAAATTCCCTTGTTATTAGGAAATTCCCTAAATTTTGATTACAATTTTTTTAATCCCATAAACTTGACCAACGATCGAAACCTTAATAACAATTTAATATATTGATGAATAGCTTTAAGCATTGACAAATGACAAGTGTGATAAATAAAATCGATAAATCAAAAAAAAAATGGAGGAAGTAGTTAAATATTAATAAATGTAATTAATATGCAACTTAAGAAATTTATGGTAAGACATGCATTTTGAAAGCCTTGATAAAGCAAATGATGCCACAAAAAAGGTAAAAAAAAAAACAAAAAAAAAAAAAAACAAGAGAATAATGAGTTTTATGTTTCATGTTGAGACAATGCGACCTCATGGTGTCCATTTAAACAACCAATATCCAACTATAAGCATTGGAGTTATGGTACCCTGTTAAAGTGGAATAGTACATTAGTACAAGTAATAAACTTTAAGAAACATTTGCACCAAAAAAAAAATTAAAAAAAAATTAAGAAACATCAAAATAATGAGCTTGAATCTTGAACATTTTTTTGCCTGTATTAGTACAAATCAAGTGGAAAGCAAAGAATTTTGTAGAACGCCAACTAAATATGTAGACAAATTCCAACTTATAAAGGTATGGCTGGCAATCTTACAAAATCAAACCATCATATCAGTCCCCATTCACTTAAGGGTTTGACAGCATACTTTAACACTTTGTGTATACATCATCTCATGCATTGAAAGAGTAGTACACAAGTATAAGTCAAAATAATAACCAACACATCCCCCTCATCTTCACTACCATTGTTTCTCGATTGCATCATCGCATCCGCCACCGTTGAATCGTTGATCTCCCAATCACCCCGGTCCCTCGGCTATCCATCTTCAGTCACATTGATTTACTTAAGCCAACCTAAACAACCAACCATCACCAACCAACCATACTACAATTGTCAACAATGACGCCTTATGAATGTATGATAAATGACTCTCGACGCATTTGATCATGTGATAATGTAAGCTTAAATGTTAAATACAAAGACTGTCCAGCAATAACTCAAGTATTACTAGTTATTAATCCTAGTAATTAATTCTAAAAACAATTTACTGCTAAGAATGAACTCTTGGAGATTGATCACTACTACTTCCTTCTCCATCCACATGATTCACCTTCGCCAACCCCAACCTTCCCACACCAACCCCATTACACAACGGCGTGTTTGAGTCAACAAACTCAGCCGAGTCCATCTCCATTTGACAAATCCTCACTGCCCCAATCAACTTTTCCGGCAACTCCTCCTCACTCTGACCTTCCACCACAAACCCCATGTCAATTGTTACAGACGTAACACACCCCAACGCCAAGTGCACCATCGCACCAGCTATCTTTGAGCTCGAAATATCAACATCAATCTCCAAGTAGTCCGGTCCCCTGTGATATCTACATGTCAATGCCTTCCCTAACAGGCATGCGCTGTAGTTTCCCACAGCTGTTTTAACTATCCATGGTCCCTTCACTATTCTGTTCACTAGCTTCAATCGGCTGTTTCTGAATGCATCATCGCCATTTATGAACCGGTCTAATAACGAGCCGGGTTGAATCGGCTCGTCTGTTGAGAAGTAGAATACTGCATTATGGTGCTCTCTCCCTGCCACATTCGTCACACAATACTTTTTCTCAGCTACTAGTAGATCTCAAACATCATTTAAATTCATCTAAATTTCACAATTATAACATATATTCTCTATTATAACACTCTTAAAGCAGAAAAACAAGCTAATTTAACCCTCAAAGTGCAATCTTGCAATTGATTGATGAAATTTTTTCTTGACTACCAATCTAGAAATTATAATGATAAAATTGAGGTTTGATTAAATTAATTTTAGCTTCAATGAAGCAAAATTTCTAACAAAATTGCCTAAAAATTTATAGTAATAATAATAATAATAATAATCAAGCCAGATCTGAATTTAATAATAAGATCAAGATTTAGCACTATCTGTTTCTTCAACCTTTCATGGAACATTATCCCAGAAAACACTTGTGATAAAACTGCACAACATTAATGTGATATTGAAACTTCTAAGCAATTTCACCTAATTTGTTTTAAATTCTTTTTACATAGATGAACCTGAAATTTGAGCTTAGGATTCTCCGTCGATTAAATCAAATAACATAATCTTGCAATTGAGGTAATTTGGTCACAATTTCATCAATTTTCGATTATTTCACAAATTCATAATGATTATTTTTCAGAAATTCAAGCAATTTTCAGCTGAATCATACAAAATTCAACTTCTTATTTGTTCAATTAACAAAACTAAAATCAAACTTAGGTTTTTCCGTCAATCAAATATCAATTTCTTTTACAAAATTCAGAAAAAATCATATAACAAGATCAATAAAACAGTCGAATTTCGACCAATTCTCCAAAAAAAAAAAAACGCAAAATTAAAAAAAGAAAAAAAAAACCACAAACCTGGAACTTGAAGATTAATGGCGAAGACAAAGGACTTCAAGAAGCTACCATCAGCCTGGCGAGAACGAAGCACGCGCATAACACGATTATCAGCACGTGACAGCACGTGCTCAAGCTTCGACGTTGACCGAAGCCAGTCAACGGCGGTTGGCTTCAACAGATAATCCACGGACGCCGGAGACTTGGTCTTCTTCGACAAATACTGTTTTGATCGGAGAGAAAACAAATTTCCCGGCGGCGATGCCCAGCCGTTGGATCCTTTGTGTAAGTCCACGTGTTTTAAAGATCCACCGTTGATTGTTTCCTCTCTCCAGTCTACCTCCGTCGTAGACGACGCCGTTTCGCCATTGTTTTTGGTTGTGCACATTATCTTTTTTTTTTTTTTTTTCCCTCTGAGAAAAGAAAAGTTTTGAGTAGTAGAGTAGAGTAATTGGACCTTTCTAATTTTCTTGAAGAAAATCGAGATAACAGAAATTTATATATTTATTTTTGTTTTTATTGGTAGGTGAGAAAATAAGAGTCCTTTATATTTTGGGAGAGGTTAAATATAATAAAAAGGGCTCGTGTGCCTTGTTCTATCTATCCTTCTAATAGACAGCAATAACAACTCATGAATTGAAAATTAGGATATTTTATGATATCATATTATTCTATTGTATGGGAAGCTTCATTGTGGTTGCCTTCTTCTTTTCTTTTTCTAATCTAATCTATCTTTTACTTTTGAGTGTTGTGTTAAGAGTCATGTGAGGACTTTGGAGAATCCGTTTTGATGGACTTATATATGGAAAACTGTGCAAAAATAACACACGTTCAATGTTTACATTTTACAATATAAGTACTTTTTCCGTCCCTTAAAAAATTCTTTTTGGGGTATTTTCATGGATATTAAGAAATTTAAGTAGGAAATACAAAGTGCATGGGGAAGTTAATAAAAGTATTTTACATGGAATTTGTAAAAAAGTAGAGAGAGAAAATAAAAAAATTACATGAGAAAAGCAAAATTTACATGTCAAAGCTAATTTTACACAAATATTATTGCAAATTGAAGGATTTTTTTAATGCAAATGGAATGAACATTTTGGGACTAAAATTTGACCAAAAGAGTCGTTTTTTTTAGGGACAAAGGGAATAAGTGAATTTGGTATACCCTAGCTTAATTCTTGCCAATTTGGACCTTTTACTCTCCTCCTACTGAGCAATATTATGCAAAATAAATGTGTTAAGCACTCGGTTATATGTAAAGCTAGGCATGGATTAAAATGGCAAGCTCACATTAATATACATCGTGTTCAAGTGATTCATCTTTGGAAAAAGGTCAATTAAATGTCATCTCAAGCCAATAATCTTTTGTAGATGAGCCTTTACATAGCATGCCCCATGCCTTATCAGGCTTGTGGTGATGAGCTCGTGTTAGATCAGTCCTTTATTTATGTCGACCAATATACCCATCATATATGTCCAACTCTCTATACTCCGTATATGATAGTAATGCATAATAGAACTATAGAAGTTGATTAGAAAACATAATAAAAATCAAAAGTTACACTTTGTACTTCACTTTTTAATGGATTTTTTTTAATTGCAGGGTCAAATTAATGGATTTGTTTTATCATTTACCAATCAACTTTTATTATCTACTTTTCACTTTTTTGATAAAGTATAAAATACATGGAATTCTAAAACTTTCTTGAATTGGTCCTTTAACATTTTTTTTTCCAATAATTACTTGGATTAGAGTAGTTAAAGCAATTAATAATCAAAATTAGTCAAACATGTTCAATCAATCTAAAATGTACATCCATTAGAAAACCATACAAAATACATAGTCTTTATATTCCAACGGTCCAACCTATCAAGTAAGAAAATTTAATTATTTGTGAAGGTACTACTATTCAGCTCGATTAACTACCTTTTCAAAGTTAAGTAATGACTTACGCGATACTTTCGTTGTGCATACTTTGTTTAATGTCGACACAAATAAAGCAAATTTCCTTATCAACTTCTTCTTTTGGTCAAGCATAGACATTAGATGAAAATCACAACAATTACCAAATTAATTGTTTGGTATAAATATTAAATACATGATGAAAAGAGTTGTACAATTATTGTAATGGCCTAATCTATTTTGTCATTAGTGATGTATTAGATTCCATATCTTTGCTGTAATGTGTAGTTATGACTCATCAATTGTGGGTTTTTGGCTACCCAAAAACAAAATAATAAGCTCTTCAAGATGGTGAATAGTTGTACTTAATACTTGTGTATAATTGAAGATTGCTAAATTGCAGAATCTTAGTTCATCACATGTGCATGCATGGTCATGTGTATGAAATCCTATAAAAGACTTTTCTATCATATGCTTCATGCTTGCACTTTTTCAATTGCTTTTCACTTTAGCTAAATTGACTTGTATTTGACAAATATAATTATAGTGCATATTTTGTATGGCTGATCACATCGTGTGGTCACTTATAAAAAAACGAATTACCCCTAACACTGATAAAGTAAACCCCTATTATACTGATGGAGTATTTTAATCATACTTATTGAGTAATCCTTAAATAATAAAGTGACTCACACAACACTGACATAGTAATTTCAATATAACTAAGTAACTCCTACAACACTAAGAGTAAGGAATAGCTCAAGCAATTAGATCTTCTCTCCCGGTTCCAATAGATCTTGGAATTGATTCTCACTTCTGCCTTGTGGCTCTCTAAACACCAAAAAGAAACTCCTACAACACTAATCGAGTGTGATAGAAGCACTAACTTGACAGTCTATATTAATATGGTTTAATTAACTAAATAAGGTCCGATCTTTTTAAAAAGGTGGAAAAATGATAAAACAATCACGACCTTAAAATGTCGTTAAATTAACCTTACAACCTCATAATTGTGAGACAACACCACCCTCTTAAGCCCTTTTTTGCATGTAAAGGGGATCTTCCAAAACATGTGAAACAAAAGTGGAGTAATCAAATTTGTACAAATGTAAGTAACAATCAAGTTCATTACTTAATTTTTTGTTCAAAAAAAAAAAAGTTCGTTACTTATTTCTTTTGAATTGTCAAATTTGGCTACTTATGAAGTTGTGATGCGTATTTCAAATTGGGCTGAGAGTATCAGTATCAGTCCCAATCATACTTTGAACAAAGATATTGGCCCAATCCATAACAAAACAAGATTAAAGCCAGCCCATACATAATTTTTTTGTCTTGATTTCTTTTTTTTAAAACTTGATTGATGATTTAAAAGGCAAATACATTTACAAATACATAAAAATGACAAATTGCAAGGATTCTCCTTGCACTAATTAATTTAACTACAAAGCATTGAGTAGTGTTTTGAAATCAAACTATATAATATAACTATATAATAGTATGATTTTCTTTTTTGTTAGACACACCCACCAGGCCCAAACCCAAGCTTACTACCAGCAACATCATAAACAACATCAAAAGTAAGTTGCTGAACATTTCCTAAAATTCCAACATCACTTGCATCACCATTTCCAGCAAATGCAAGACAAACTTGTGAGATATCTTTCACATAGAAAATCCCTGCTGCGGGTAACACGATTTCGGCCTTACCACCGAACTGAAGCCCAATCTTAGGCACTGTGACGGTGGTATATTTGCTGAGGTCGAAGCATGTATCGAGGATCGATAGGGCAGGAGCTTTAGGGTACTTGGACATGGCCTTGTTGAAGGCAGCTTGTAATGCTGAGTATGCATCTGGTGGTAGACGGGTGATCACGGTACCGGAGTCGATTAGGACTCCACCTTGTGTGAAAACTGTAGGTTGGATTGAGAGTTTTTGGCCACCAACTGAGAGGCCTTGTAGGTCTATGAAATAGAAGGATGCTCCTGCTGACCCTGATAACAGAGGTGTGTACGTGATCGACTTTGAACTCTGTTATCAATCAAATCAAGTGTTAATACTTCATCCGTTTCTCAATATTTGAAATTTAGTATTGACAATTTACTAACTTTAATCTTATTTTGTTAAGGTAAACATAAGTGAAATTATTTTAATTGAATTTAGTTGTCAAAAAATATTAAAAGACAAAAATTTTTATCTTTTAATATATCATTCGTTTTTTTAGTACATGCATCAATGTTACGGAGTATTATTCTAACCGTTAGGTTACTAAAGGTCAAATACAATGTAAACAAGTGTAAAATTTTAAACTGGATCATGTATTAAGAAATCGAGGAAGTAAATAAAGAACGTACCGTGCCCCCTTTACCAAAGGTGAGATGACCGGTAGAGCTAGCCTTGGAAGGCAAACAATAAGAGAAAACTTGACCATATTTGGTAGCACATTGTGACATAACGGACAATTGGTTTCTACCAAGCCCAATAAGACCAGCAGACCCACCAAAAAGGCCTTGATTATTCTCACCACATCCAAAATAAAAGTTTGGAATTGTGTCATAGGAGGAGCCCAAAGTTAGAGTGTCCTTAGCAAGGAATCCAACCGAGAAGGATGAGTCCCCATATTGTATGCCGTAAACGCATGTGGAGCCGGCACATCCCGGCTTCGCGCTGGTGGCCGATCTCACCTCCGAGCATAGCGTCGAGGTGCACGTAATGTTCGTGTACGTTGATGACTCTGAGGGGTTGAACACGGGGTCTTTTTGCTTGTAGCAACTTCTTTTGCATGGTTCACATTGTGTCCATGTAAAATCACTACCTAAATTCACAAGCAAGTGCATATTAGATATTATGAAGGGTGCTATACTGCTATTAATATTATACTAATCCGTACATACTATAAGGGATAAAGAGATAGGCTCTTGCTCTTTCAAATTAATACAATCAATTTCATTATATATTTCATCATTGTTTGACATTTAAAGTTACTATTTATTAGTTAATGAGTTGATATTCACTAATCAACACAAATAATACCTAACTCAATGTATATGATCATGAAGCCTATTCGAAACAAGATGACTCAAAATTGATCAAATAGAATTGACCTTATTCAAATCCAACCTAAAATCATAACAAACATACGTAGTATATAAAAACTGATACGAAATGATTAAAATCAATTCTTGGTAGCTATAACTAAATGACCTGATCCGAATTTGGACTATACTTGATACTAAAAGACTCAAAATTGATCCAAACCAAATTAACCTATCCAAACCCAACCCACTTCAAAATTGACAGAGTCCATTATTGAATTGACCCAACAGTAATTATTAAAAATACTTAAAATTAATTTGTCATCCACAACATAATAATAATACTACGTTGTAATATTTAATTTGAAATAGATCCGACTTATTGTACCTACGTGGATTCAACCCAACCCATATCCAAACCAAAATTTCCTCAACTAAACACATTTTGACACATATAAAATCTGACCCGACTTAAAACGATTTATTTGTCACCTCTATTTATATCCGTACTACATACCTGTATCGAAAATGAGAGAGAGGTCCTTTTTAGGGGTACCAAGGCCAATAGTGACAATGAAATTGCCAGAGCCAATAGTACTACCGGACTTAACTGGAAGGCCCACTGCTTTCTGTTTAACTCTGTCCTTTTTTGGAGCCTTTTTGTGGTCCGTCACCGAGTCAACTTCCACCGATTTAGGCTTGACTCGCTCCCTAATTGAGTCAACTCGTTTTTCATCGTTTTCTAGAATTTCCACGTGGCTTGGGCGGCTTTCTTTGTCTGACTCCAATGTCGAACTTGAACATGGCCCATGCTTGTGCCTCACTTCTA